ATATATGGAAAAAAATAAATTTTTTTAAATTTTCTAGGTTTTTTTTTGTTTTATTTTTATTTAAATCTTCACTTCTAAAGTAATCTTTTTTGATATATATTTTATAGATAATTTAAATAAATTAAAATAATTTTTTATATTATTCGATGAAAATTTAATTATTTCCATCCGACGTTTTTGATAATATTTTAAATTTATAAATAAAATATATAAATAATATTTTTAAAATTATCTTTATATTATAAATTTAATAATTATATTTTTTAAAATATATATTTTATATTCAAATATTTTTTTTATAATTTATTAAAGATTTTTTTTAATTCAAAAAAACATATAAAAATTTTTAAATTTTATTTTAATATTTAAAAATGCCATATTTTTAAATTGTTAATATTTTTTCAGATATGTTAATAATTTATAAATTAAAAAAATATAAAAAAAAAATTTTTATCAATTTGTTCGTATTTATTAATGCTCTGTAAATTTATATTATATATAATTTTGTAAAATATAATATAAAAAATATATTTTATTATAAAATATATATATATATATATATATATATATATATATATATATATATATATATATATATATATATATATATATATATATATATATAAACGTATATATTATAAATTCATGAATTATTCACACAAAAAAAAACAAATGCAAAGGTTAATGATTTAAATGGCGAGAAATCCATCATCGCAAACAATTCAAATAATATACAAAAACCTCCGAATCCGTTATGAATGAAATGATCCTTGTTTATATAAATTTCTGCCGTATTAGTTCTTATTTTTTTACTACAAGCTTTCGTCTGTTCCTACAGACATCTTCAGGTATAGAATAGATGTTGTTCTTGTTTTTTTCTCTTAGTAATAAGAGGACAACGAAAATATATGTATTGTTGTATCCGAAAATGCTATTGAAAATGAGTTATTGTTTTTGGAGCGCGCAGAAGCAACGCTGAGTTTGATTTTAAATTTTTAAAGGTTGTGCGTTCATATAAAATATGGTGATGAACAAATTTTTTACTGGTAAATTTTTCTGTCAAAGTGGCATGAACTATATTGTTCAATAATTACAGTAATGTCCCTATAATTTAATCTCAACTATTCAAATGTAATGTCAATCAACGTCTCCAGATGCCTTTATATCTATCCTTCTCTTCATCCTTTTATTTATCAAAAGTATTAATTGCTATCGCTCCAACTCTCTGTAACCCCTTGCTTCATATATGAAACGCTTAAAAAAAAATATTAGATAAATAACTATTAAATACTACTAAATTGTAGAAAATTCTGATTTCAATTATATATATATATATATATATATATATATATATATATATATATATATAAGCAAATATATGGATATAGATCCGACAGTATGAAGAAAATATACAGAAAAAACAATTCAAAAAATATGCAATTATGCTGTATTAATGTTAATATAAAGTCGACGTCGGACTTTTCGTGTTGAATTTTATATGTTCTAATGTTAATTATGTTTAAATGAAAATGTCCATGAAGATGATCTTAAATAGACCGAAACGTCCGACGTCGACTTTATATTAACATTAATACAGCATAATTGCAGCATATATTAAGATTTTTTGTTTGTTTTTTCTGTATATTTTTAAATATATATATATATATATATATATATATATATATATATATATATATATATATTTAAATTTGTTTTTTATCTTTTGCTTAATGATTTTAATAAACAAGCAAGATTTATCAGTAATTACAAGATATTTATTCCACACCTTGCCGTTAACAGTAAGATGGGGCTTTAAAAGTCACATTTTTAGGACAAACAAGGTTGTTTATGAATTCATGCACCCTATGGGAGATTGTATATTCAGTACCAATAATAAAAAATTAAACAACATTACATTCCTACATCAGTCGCAGACACACACTCGTAGGTTAATTTAACGCTTATCGAAACTCGCAGTTCGTGAATATATCGATCATCTCATCACAAACAGCCAAAAATACAGCAATTAAACTTCGTGAAATATTAGCAGATAATACCAACATATGATACAAAACTCATTCCCAAGAAAGTTTCAAGAAACTATTATTACACAAAAAAAAAAAACCGGCATTGATATGCTTGTTTTTTACGGATTATCAACCTTTTGCAAATTATTGAAAAAATACTTTTAGATTGTAAGAACTTTTTTGAGATAAAAGCGGCAAATTAATTGAAATAAAACTAATAATTCTATCTATCTATCTATCTATCTATCTATCTATCTATCTATCTATCTCTCTCTCTCTCTCTCTATATATATATATATATATATATATATATAATGTGTGTGTGTGTGTGTGTGTGTGTGTGTGTGTGTGATTTGTGCGAATTGCCTGAAACAAAACGAATAATTCCATTATTTTTTTTCTCGCATTTTTCCAATGAAACATGACGCAGTGCTCATGTTAGTACTTCGTATGTCCATTCCACGAGGTCGTTCCTTGCAAATTGATCACAGATTCTCGATTGGATTTATATCTGGAGAGTATACGAGGCAGTCTATAGATATTTGATTTGCTAATTGGTAAGGATTTCCAGTGTTTCGTAAGCTTCCTTGGAGTAACGTCCATCGCAGACAATGGCCGTAGGACAACAAATCGAAAGTCGGGACAATAGTGTCTGAGCATGATGAAAATCTGATGCGATTAAGGATGAGGTAATATCTTCCAAGGCCGAACAAATTTCATCATACACCCGGAAAATAGATTCATTACTGCACACCACTTCAAATGACCTAATCTGAAGAAAAAATAGAAATCGATTAGACCCTGTCACTCCAGTGGGTGTAAAAATGACCGTATGGTGAAAGAAAGGAAACTAAAGCGATTGTTTCAATTAATTTGCACAAGGGTTTATATAATGCTTTTGTAAATACCTTATGAGTACATTACAGAAACTATATACGAAAATAGATTCATATTACTGCACACCACTGCAAATGACCTAATCTGAGGAAAAATAGGAATCGATTACACCCTGTCACTCAAGTGGGTCCAAAACACTCCGTATGATGAAAGAAAGGAAACTAAAGCGGTTGTTTCAATTAATTTGCACAACGGTGTAGGCTTTTTTTTTTCTGATACAATCTTGGGAATTAACCAATAACTGGTGAGGCAGAAGAATCGGATTCATTATTTTCCACTGACAATGACAATTTGCGTGTAAGTGCAAACAAGGAACCTAACTGGAATTCGAACTCCTCTTTCCTATTTACAATTCCAAGCCGTCATCCATTACGCCACCATGCATCCAGGCTCGACGTTGGTTAACTTTCCAGGCTAGACGTTGCTTAACTTCGGTGTTTTCAAAGGTGATATGACCGTGAGACACAAACGACATTGAAAAATATATAGTTCACTATTGAAGTGTGCATATCAAAATATGCATCAGTCAGTTTTGTGCCATAAGGGATACATGCTTAAGCGATCATGTATCCTTCGATAGATGACTGCCGAGGCAGAATTTTATCCCGCTGTAGATTGCCGTTTCTTCCTGAGATAGACCAGTTGCCATCCAAGTCTGCCCTGCTATTTAGCCATAGCGGGGGAGAGTAGAAGACTCATATCTTTTCCAAGGATATTAGCACGTAAGTGAATGCAATGGATTCGACTGGAATTCGAACTCGGCTCTCTTATTCCTCAATCCGAGCCGCTATCCATTACTCCACCGTTCCTCCCTTATTTTGTACAAAATAATAATAGTAATAAGAAGAAGAAAGAGAAGAGGGAGGGGGAGGCGGAGGAAGAGGAAATTCTAGTCTTGAACAAAAACTAAACTGAGATTTTTAAGAAAAAACAACTCATTTGGTTCACTAGGTGCTTCAGCGTCGAGTAATGGTTAACAAGCTTGTCTCGTTTAAGATTATGACGACGTATTGAATTCTATGTAATAGAATGCTTCAGATGAGGTTTTGTGAAGTGTGGACCCACCTGTTACTAGATAGTTTTCCCAGGTCTACCCTGAAGCGAGGTGGTAGCACCTGTTAGGGTCCCAGCTATGGGCAAAATAGTTGACCCACACTCGCAAACTAGGGTCAAAACACCATGAAAGTGTAAATATAGCTTTTACTACAGCAATACTTTTTTTGTTTTAATATATTTATACGTTATTTTTATGGATAAAGCTTATTTAATAAATGCACTGTTTTAATTAAACAGTATTAATTAATTTACTGGCCTGAATGTTCGAGAAATTTCGTTGTATCCATGAAAGATGTGTGTTTATAAGCAGTAATTTGGATTTTGCTAACGGAAATCTCTCTGTGGCTGAATGGTTAAACAGCACGTCAAACTATATCAGGGTTTCCCTATGGGACGCGGGTTCGATTCCTGTTGGAGAAAGCATATTTTCTATGAAATGTCTCTAACATTGAGGCCGGTAATATGGCAATAACATTCAACATGAGATCGTTTGAAATGTCATCAATAATGATGATCGAAACAGTTTACATCTCTATGGCGTCGACAGTATTAAGAAAGGCATGAAACCCCCATCACCACAAAAAAAAAAACAGAAAATAATTTAAGATTGTAAAAATATTTTCGAGACAATAATGATTTACTGCTAAAAGTCCTACTATTTAACCCATAGTTTGGGGGGTATTCATACGTTTCTCAAGGGTATTTTCGCATAATATATAGCATATAACGAACCCGACGGTAATTGGAACTCAGCTCTCCGATTTCAAATTCCGAGCCGTTAATAATTACACCGCCTGCACATCCAAGCTTATCGCTCCTGGTATCCTCAAGCGGTCTAAGTACAGGCTCTACGTTGCTTAACTTCGGTGATCATGTTTAAATGTGAGATGATTGTAAGCAAAAGTAGGAAGGGGAGAGAATAATTAGTGAGAATGAAAAATGAAAAAAAAAAAAAATAGAAAGATAAAAGAATGAACAAAACTAAAAGAAAGAAACACAGAAGGAATATATGTCGGAAAATTAGAAGACAAAGTAAATGAAAAATAAAAAGAGGAACAAGAAAGAAAGGAAGAGGTGAAGAAAAAAAAGAAAGAAAGAAAGAACGCTGACTAGAAAGAAAGAAAGAAAGATAGAAAAAGACAAGATTGAACGGTAACTAAAAAGAAAGAAAGAAAAGAAAGAAAGAAAAGAAAAGAAAGAAAGAAAAAAACAAAATAAATTAGGAACAAATTTTTTAAAAAAAAGGAAAAAAAAAATAAAAAAAAAAGAATAGAAAAAAGAAGTAAAGAAAGAAAAAAAAAAAGAAAAAAAACGAAAGAAAGAAAGAAAAAAGAAAGAAAGAAAAAAAGAGAAAAAGGAAGAAAAGAAAGTTTTGAAAAAACACTTAAAATATTGAAGGAAATAAAAAGTTTATGAACATCAAAACGAACATAGAACGAACGAAAGAAAAAAAAAGAAAGAGAATTAAGCACTTAAAAGGAAATAAGTAATTTAGGAAAAGCAAAACGGAGAGAAAAGAAAGATAGAAAGAAAGAAAGAAAGAACGAAAAAAAAAGAAAAAAAGAAAGAAAATTAAACACTTGAAAGGAAATAAAAAATTAGGAAAAGCAAAATGGAGAAAAAAAAAGAAAGTATATGGAAATCAAAAACGAGGGGAAATACTGAAAGAAAGACAGAAAGCAAGAGATTGAGAGAGAGAGAGAGAGAGAGAAAGAGAGAGAGAAGCACACGCACACACACACACACACACGCGCGCGCGCACGCGCACACGCAGATGGAGAGAGAAAAGAAAGGCGAAGAAGCAAAGGCAACAGTGAATAGGACATTGCCGACAATAGCATTGAACTGATTTGACTCTACTATTTTTACAAGTGCACTTACCACTGAATCTATTTGTAAATAGATGACTTTAAAACCAGGACCTGCTGAGCAGAACGCCGTAGGAAGCAATGCAAATTCGCGGAATATTCCATAGTTATCCAGAAGGAAGCGTGATGCTTTTCGGAATGGATAACCTCAGCTGTTTGAAAAAAATCCAATAATATATAATTATTGCTTTGCCAGGCCTTCCTTTGCTTATCTTTATTCATGCTTAGAGTTATTCGTAAAATAAAATTTTTGGCTACTTCCACTTGTCGTACAACACAAATAAAGAATGATATTTTTTCCGGCGTTCATTTTTTTTTTAATTTTATGGTATTTATTTATTTAAAAAAAATTAGATTTTAATCCAATGGAGTTATTGCATACGATGATGGCTTGCGATTATGAAGGTTTGAAATTTTCTTCCCGCCTCTGCTGACTTTAATGCGAACACAGAGATAAACAGGCGAAACCCGCCTACATTTTTGAAAGTCGACGCCATACTGTGGGCAAAAAATAATGAACGGAATTAGAGTTTCTAGTTTATAGGCAAATATTCGTTTATAAAATGTTGATAAAATTTGGTTCATCATCGAAATTAAAAAAAAAAAAAAGACGTCATATCTCGGAACATCTATATTATAGAATATTATCACTGAATCTATCTACCTTCTCTCTCTCTCTCTCTCTCTCTCTCTCTATATATATATATATATATATATATATATATATATATATATATATATATATATAGTGATTTTCCAAGTGTAGCTTAGATGTGGCACAAGGCCGAAAGTATCGAACTAACTACTCAGGCGTAATTGTTCTAGCGAGACAAGTTTGCTAACCATTACACTGCTTTGGGGCGACACACACACACACACACACACTCTCTCTCTCTCTATCTATATATATATATATATATATATATATATATATATATATATATATATATATATATTATTATTTAAAAAATCCCTTTTATATATGTTTCGATAAAGACTATTGATAACGTACTGTAATTAAGCTTTTTATTTCATTTTTCTTGTGTTTCTACAAGTGTTTTCTTTTCTGGATACAAAGTGTGTCTGTCCTGGATATGACGATAAACTACATCCGCGTCCTGTTTAAGACAATGAACTACATCAGCATCCTGGGTAAGACACTAAAACTACGTTCGACAGCAAGGCCTCTGATCAGGAGGTTTTGTGGAGCGTGGAACCACCTCTTAATTGCTGGTGTTCCCAGGTCCATCTTTTCCGGGGGTGGTAGCATCTGTTAGGGGGGGGGGTCCCAACTCCAGTTAAATAGTTAAAACCCAAACAGTTGTCAAAACACTATGAAAGTGTAAAAATGGGTTTTAATCCCAGACATATTTTGTAAAAATATTATTGCCAGCAATAAATCTTGTCGACATTAAATAACACATTGAGGTTGATATGCCGTAAAACAAAATAAACTAAACCAAACAAAGTGTGTCCAAATGTTTTGTAATTCCGAGCGATTTTGGCTATACATTGAGTCATCATCAAGGATGATTTTATCTTTACTTTTTAACTGGATGTATGGGTTGTATGTATGTATGTAGAGTTATAGGGATGTTTTATTCTCCAAACATGATCAGCACACTGCAGCCGGGTTTGTAGCTAAGTTAAAACAGCTAACTCTAGCCTAAAAAATAACAACACACCTTTAAAAACAAAGCTACAAAGTCCTAATATTATTTAGGAGTTCAAATGTCCTTTAAGGAACTGTTTTCCTGATCAAACCAAACTCATAAATAATTATATCGGTCACACTACTACATGCCTATCCAGACGACTTACATTACACCTATCCGACCACATCTATATTATAACTCATTGAAACACACAAACAAACAAACCAGTCTCCATCCGAAACATTAATTCAAGTATAAATTACAAGCATGATAACCTCCTGTACATTGGAAAATGATTAAGAATATTGGAAGCTCTAATAATAATAAAAAAAAGAAAAAATCCAATACTCAATAACTTTAACAAAGAACACAGACAAATTATACAAAAAGCTTAGTCACAGTACGTTGTCAGTCGTCTTTGACGAAACAATATAGAGTTCTAGAGTCGTGTATATCAGATCCCGTGAGCCTTCCCTTTGTAAACAGAGGGAATGCTTACTGAATCTGAATATTGTTGGACTCTAGTGTCTTCAAAATTCATATGTTTTCCCCATTCGATTAAATTCATTAATTAAAAATTAATTTACACGCTTTTAAAATTACCAGAATAAATAAACTTGATAAGACCTGGGACGAAACCGGTTGTTTTTATTTTAGCTTTTGCTTTTAAAAATGCCTTATAAATATTGTCTTTTCCTATCTATTATTAAATTCTGTACGACGAAAAACTTATTTCAATATATATATATATATATATATATATATATATATATATATATATATATATATATATATATATATAGCTAGATAGATAGAGATATATGCTTGTTGAAGGTTATTATATATTTCTATCTATCTACCTATCTCTGTTGCAGGTTGGTCATATCTATCTATCTATCTATCTATCTATCTATCCCAGTCTATTCATATTTATCTATATATCTGTCTATTCATACCAGTCTGTTCATACCAGTCTGTTCATACCAGTCTGTTCATACCAGTCTGTTCATATCTATCTATCTATCTATCTATCTATCTATCTATCTATCTATGACACTGGTTCTTCATATACATGGATAGATAGATAATGCCGACAATATCTATCTATCTATCTATCTATCTATCCATCTATCTATCTATCTGTTTCTCTCTCTCTATATATATATATCTGTCGATCTATGTCAGTCGCAGTTTTTTTTATCTATATATCTATCTATGTGTTTCTCTCACTATCTCTCTCTCTATATCCCTCTCTCTCTCTATGTATATATATATCTGTCGATATATGTCAGTCGCAGTTTGTTATCTCTCTCTCTCTCTCTCTATATATATATATATATATATATATATATATATATATATATATATATATATATATATATATATATCTAAATTCTGTCAACAGATTGTCCATATCTCTCCTCTGCTAGAACAACTTACCGTAGATTATTTGCTTGGATATTTTACAGTCGTCAAGGGAAATGGCATGACCTTCTGGTATTGAATATTCGCTTCAACGCCGATTCCTCGGAGGACAGTATCTGCCCTGTGGGATATCCAGTGAATGCTAATCACTCAATCAAAACCAACAGCCGTCAGGATCATAGAACCACTATAAATTCCACGATGTTTCCATTACCTGAATATTATGCGCTTCACTAAGTCTACAAACCATTTTGAATTCAGAGTTGTCCTATTAGAGTGGTGGCTACCCAAGGCTTAAGAGCTCAGTCTACCCTACTATTTAAACCATACTTTGAATGCCAAGAATTGATCTTAATCAGCATTGACGGACACACTCTAGAGCAAGGGTCGGCAACCTACGGCCCGCGGGCCGAATGCAGCCCACGGAGGCATTTTGACCGGCCCGCGAGCCTGATTACCGATGACTCTATTTTTCACATGAGAGACGAGGCTTTCGAATTCGACAAAAGGCCTGCTGTTATCTTCCTCTGATCCATCCAACCGAATTTGAATACTATGACTGCAAAAACACGATCAAAACCTAATCACCTCCATTTCAGCGTAAAAAATAAAAAAAATAAACATAAAACAAAAACTGAGAGTCGATTTGACCGATCGACCGACCGGCCGACAGGCGACAGCTTCAAAGAGACAATGTTGTCTCAGTCGGCTTTCTATTTCATTCCTCCAACAGCAACCCCCCATCGCAGCGAGGTAGCAGAAATCTAAAGACAGTTAAACATACGCGCATTATACATACATGCCTCATGAATGTGTGGATGATACCGCATGTGTACGTACGTAGGTGTATTTGTTTGCAACTATTTGTACTCGTATGTATGGATATACGTTCTTCGTTTTTTGTTTGATGTGTGTGTGTGTGTGGTTCGTTTGTGGAACAATTTTCAATAACAGTTTCAAACCTACACGTCATAATTTCATCCATTTCACTTCGGTTGATTTTTTTCACTTTGAAGTATTTTGACGTTCCTTGAGGAAAAGTAATTTTTGTTAGGTGTTTTTTAATTTTAGATTTTCTTTTGTTTTTCTGATTTCTCAATGTTTATTTTCATCATGGTTTTAAATATCGACAGGGGGTCTGCATATGTAATTTTCCTTAATTTTTCATCAATGACCATCGTCCGGCACGCGACCCGTCATTATAACACAATTCGGCCCGTGGGGTCGAATGAGTTGCCCACTCCTGGTCTAGATTGTCAAAGATCCACTTGCTATGCCTATATTTACTTAGGAAACGAACTATGAAATGAAGATGTCGAAATCTAACATCTTTAGGTAGAAGTGTGACCCCTAAATCCAAAGTCGCACTGAAAATGTAAGCAGAGTTCTAAAAGCAGGCAGATTCCGTTAGAAGCATAGAAAAAAGGGATAAACTGATGAGTAATATCAATTCGCCGATATGGCGTTGGCCACTGGACAATTTTCTCACATATGAAGAGGCGACGATAATGTGGTTTCACAGAAGGATGAAGAGGATACCATAGAGAAAATATTTATGATTTAAGGAAAATTGAAATGACACCTTGATTAATTTAAATTTTTACGTCTTATCAACGTTTTCAGGTTATTTAAAGATATATATTTTTAGATTTTAAGAGATAACAGAAAAGAATATTTAGGATCAGGAAGTCATAGTTGGAGAAAAGACAACCCTTACTGAGAACTAAAAATGGTAGGAAGTCGTGGAGAGTCATAATTGCCCAGGTCCTGTAGGGAAAAGGCACAAGGAAGAAGATGAATATTGCATATTTTGCTATTAACTTTCATAATTCGATCATTAAAACCCTACAATTTAATAAGACCCAAATGACATTACAATATGTACGCGATTATCCGGACACATTGGGCCATATATATATATATATATATATATATATATATATATATAATATATAGGAGGAGGAGGAAGAAGGAGGGGAAGAAGAAGAAGAAGAAGAAGAAGAAGAGCAACAACAACAACAACAA